GCCAGAGAAGTGCTCAACTTGTTATGGCCACCCTCTTGTAGATTAATGTTCCACTTTTCCCCTGCAATGTTGATCACAGCTTCTCCCAGTATATACGGGGGGAGTGTGGGAGTTTGTTTTTCTCTTTTCTGTCCCCTCACAGGTCTCCAAACACGAATGATGACATTCCATAGCTGCACCAAAGCATTGCTGTGCATAGGTCTCTGGAGTCTGATGTCCAGACTCTATTCTGAACCTGCGATGCCTCTGAAACTCTGAAACTGTTTGCCATTTGGAGCCCAGGAAATAAAATGCCTGTGCCACATGCATGGATTCTATGAAAGTGGAAGCAACCCCCTGGCCCTACAGCGTCGCTACCAGTTCTGTAAGCCATCATGGACTCAAGTGGAACCTGTATCATAAGTTATTAAATTGCACTGGTAGGAGCAGGAGTCTCCTTAATTGATGCTGCAAATATAGAAGTTCTTGCTAATAAACTGTCATATGCCACTGAAAATATGGGGAAAATGGGAACTCCATTAACTGCATCTTTAAAGATGTTAAGCGAAGAACAGCAGTTAATAAGTAAGGTATTTCCTGGGTGGGAAAAACTCATAGAAGGGGATGAAAAGTTAATGATGTCTGGTGTACAGTCCTTCCAAAATAATGTATCATTGGCTTTAGCGTGTGAGCAAGCTCAGGCTCTCACCCAAAATGTTATCATGGGAATGATTCGGCAAGCCATGATGGGACAAATTCCCATGGAAGCAATCAACCTAATTCGGCCCCATGTAACGGAGGAAGAATTAGCCCTCCAGCCCTGGTGGAGATTAGTTAATGCTTCATATAATCACCACCAGCAAAGCTTGCAGTTATTCCTTATAACTGTGGCAGGCAAGGAAATTAGAACAATCCACCCAGTAGTCCCACTGGGATTACAAATTGATGATAGCTCAGTAATGTACTCCAGGGATCATAACACTTGGGCCTGGCAGAAAGATAGTGCATGGAAAACAGTAAATGTAAAAGGGTGCAGAAGAAAAGAAGGTTTAGGTTACATCTGTGAAGACCAAGCATTGGAGGAGCATGATGAATGTTTTTTTCCACAACCTGGAAACAAGTCTCACTGTTCCTTCGATGTTATCCAAGAAAGGGAATCTGCTATTGTTTATGTGGGTAAAGCATGTGTGTGCATGAGAACAAGATGTGATATTGTATTAATTAATGGATATTGGATTCAACCTATGGTGCCTTATATTAATCGCTGTTTCTGTAATGTAACCACTATTGTTACTTGTGATCTTAAGTTTACTGTACCTATATGGACCATACAACATTTGAATGCCTACCCTGAGCTCTACAAAGAGGTGTCCCCCATTTTACTAGGAATGGGTCTCATCACCATTAAGGAACTATTAACTCATCCCTCCTTACGAGCTGAACTGCAAAGACTCAAAGCTTTGGGAGAGAATGGCAAACTCGAGATTCAACACCACAATCAGGAAATCTCTAAGCTAGCAGCTACAGTTAAAAATGCAGGCCATCACTCCTGGTGGGAGGTTTTGTTTGGGTGGAGCCCCAATGCAACAGGTCTTTTAAATGTCATGCTTCACCCCATTGTAGTAATCATTAGTTTTCAAATTATACTAGTAATTAGTCTGATGCTACTAGTTTGCTGGATCCAGAGACTGATGCGACGATTGCAATGGATAGAAGGCCAGAACCAGTACCATGGAGCAAGAATGTGATGGGGATACTAGCTCAACGCAAGCACCCCATCAACGGGGGGAATTGTTACGTCTCAGCTCTGTATTCTTGGGGAACCCTGGTACAGGATGCAGTCTGTCTGACTCACAAAGGACTCACCCCCCTCCCCTCCTCTACCTAAACGAAACTGATTAAGATGCAGTGAGAGACGCACCTAAGACCCTCACCAGATAAGGGTGACGAGTGAATCAACTGCCCTAGGTCTCATTTACATGAGAGATGGAAAACAGAAAGCCTGAAGCAGAGACTGCAGTGAATTCTGGGACCAGAGAAGCAGGGGAGCACTGCATGATGGGGAATCTGTGCTTCCAATGTTAATCAACCCATGTTCACACACACCCAGCTCAGCATTTATCAGACCAGTTCTAATCTGGATTTACTAAGGACTTTTCCCCCCCAGACACACACACACAGCTCTAAGTTTAATAGGCATCTCGGGCCGTACATTCCCCGGTCCCACTATGGGAGGCCTATTTAAACTTGATTGACTAAAACTCGGTTGCCGGGTTAGGGAATGCTGAGGCAAGAGACCGAGTCAGAGGGGGTATGGGCAACATTTGAACAATGGTTAAGGGTTCATCACAGCATCCAGCCTGCTGGAGCCCTAATCCCAGGTGTTGTCATATCTTTCCCGAGACGACTGGTGGGAGTCCTCTCCACAAAAGGTTATGAGCACCCCAATAATTGTTTTAAGTCTGTTAAAAGACTATAGTAAGATCTGGAAAAGTCATGCTAAGCTGAGGCTTGTGCACAACAAGTAAAAATCCAAAATCCTGATGCTGCAAGCTATCTATTGTTCCTGAAGAAACCATGAGATATCCCATCAGTATATCTGCCACCCATAGGAATTTCAAGCTGGCTCCCAAGTATTTGGGTTACTCCCTAATCTTAAGTGTTTCCTGATTATCAATCAGTTTCCTGAGATGGTCCAAACCAGATAACCCCTTGTCAATAGAAAAGACAATGATTTACACTACTGAGGGTGCTTCGAAGCAGCTGAACTGAGGGTATAAAAATCTGTAAGTGTGTGTGCTGCTAGAGGGAGAAGAGGAAGAGGAAAAGGAAGGAAAAGAAGTAGAAGCAGGAGGAAAGAAGGAGAAGAAGAAAACCCCTGTGCTGACACCATCCCCTGTCGTTCTTGGGACGCTGGAAGAACAGATCATCTCTCCCTTCAAGGACTGTGCTACAGACTGTGCCTGTCAGCTTTGCAGCCTGAGTACCGTGGACTAGGTGAGATCCCAGCGTTCTCTGTCTTCTTTCTAGGCATAAACTTCTGAACCTGAACTGTATCAGTTAAGCTTGAGCTAAGTTTCCCCAAATACTTAGTGAAACCAGGGTAGTATTGTCATTGTTGGTGTTTGTTTTTCTTTTGCATGTCTATTACTACTAGTACTATTATATATTTCATATGCTTAGCAATAAATAACTTTTATAGTCAAACTGGTAGTAATTGGGTATATTTTTCCTTCTCTGCTTCTCTTTCCTCCCGTGCTCTGCAGCAACGCTTCTTTTACCTATGCTAAAGATCCCTGTGAAGCCCAAATTATTGTGGGGTCTGCTCATCAAGAGGCCAAAGATTGGGACGTGCTGAGTTTGAAACACATAAGGGGATCAGCTTGTACAGGCTGATTGACCCAGTTTGACTCAGACGTGCCCTTATGAACTGAATGCTGGCCCATGAGGGTGTCAGCTGGACACCCAGCCGGATTCAGAGGGATTCTGTTTACCTGTGTGCTTGTGTTTGACTGCATTTTATTGTTGCTCTTATGAACTGATTCTTGGCATATGAGGGTGTCAGCCTGTCCATGCTGATCAGCCCGGCCAGGTCAGGCGTGTCACGTTAATTTGTGTGTGTTTGTGTGTATGACTGATTTGGTGACTGGAGGAACCCAGTCCCATTGAGATTGAGTCCTGCAAGATAGCTCCACTGGGGGTCAGGGCTTGCAGAAGGGAGAAATACAGCTCCGTATAGTAACACAAGCAGCACATTGACAGAATCACCAAGACCCTAGAAACTATCCCTAATAAATGAGCACACCCCAAAGTAATGGGCAGATTTGGTAACACACTGATAACTGTGCATGATCATACCAGTTACATGAGATGGGGGTCAGTATATCTTGAATATATGAAGGATTTAGCTGTTTTTTTCTCCTATGGTATATCAAAAGATTGTAGAAGGATGATTTCAGATCAAGACAACTAATCTCTCATCTGTAAACATTTCAACCAAGCAGGCAATACAGTATGCTAGCAAGGTTTGAAAAACTGCCAGTGCCATAGCAAACATTGTACAGGGCTACAGAATTTCTAGCAGAATAATTCATTGTAGTTCAGCTCCCATAGCCATCTAGCTGATTCCTTGCATGTTATGTTTGCAGAATAATTAATTATAATGGAATCAAGAAAAAATAATCATCTAGGAGGAATCTATCACAGAACAATATAAATAAAAAGGAAGAATTTACAATTCCAAAGAACTGAACAACTATCAAGTTGTGAGCATTCAAAACATAGTATAGACAAAGTTATCAGAGGAAGAAATTTTGTTTTCTGCTTCTTCCCACTTTAAAAAGCTCCTACCTTCAGGTCAGGGATCCCATAACCTTTCTTCAGAGTGATCTGGAAAACCTCCAATGAACTAATGAAAGCTGCAAGTCTTGTCAGGCTCTGCTTGCCACTTCCACCTACACCAACGAGGAGAGCATTTCCTCTGGGTGATTCTAGGATACGGTTGATGCGGCAGCTAAATTGAAGCATACATAATTACTGGTTAAAAAGTTATTTTTTTATTGTTTGGAAGGTTTCAATGAATATCTATCGACTAAGAAATTGTTTTCTGAATGGGAGGCAAAAATAAAACCTCAAATGTTACTTTAAGAGAACACATAGATTAACAAAACATACTGAGTTACTGAGATCAGGAGTGGGAGTGGGAGATTCATGATCCATAGGAACTGCTTCCTATGCCGACTATGTCCAGCAATAGTTGGAAGTTTGACCAGGGAAATATAGTCCTGAATGTAATGACTACTGAAGTAGCAGAGCTTAGCTTCCATAACATAGGAAAAAGTTGTTGTCTTTTTAACTCATCATAGTCTTTTTCTGTCCATATCTTACGGAGCATATTTGCAATCAATACAAATTTGATGAGTAAAAAATGCAATCAAACATAAATGCTAAAGTAGTAATTCCAGCCTTGTCAGTCTCTAATTTCTGTTTTAGCTGATGACTTCAATTGAGTAGAAACATTTTAAAGTAAATCTCTTGTCTCCATTTGCAGAACACAGGCCAAATCAGAATATGTTTGTTATAGTACGGTAAAAAAAAGGGTAAATGTGTCACTCTGTAGGCAATTCATTCCCGCAAGCAGAAACACTGTGTTTCAGGTATAGATGGTCTACCTGTGTCAGAAAAGTCACGTTGTCAATGTGGCAAGTAGCCACCATATTGGAATCCATGATGACTACTGTGAATTCACATTTGGGTCAATATTTCAGCCCCCAGTAGGGATAGAAAATGAATTCCAATGATGTAACCAACATTATATGAACTGAGGAGACCAATCATAATATTTCCATTGTGGAAACCATATTAGAGTCCAATATGACTGTCACCAATTTACAGTTTTGTTCATTATTAGATACCCAAAAGGTTTGCAAAATTGCTACATCAACTCTGTTCTGTTTCACATTACCTTGACATGAACACCTCTAATTCAGATTATCAACAAGAGATGCACCCTTACCACACTTAAGCAAATGTTATAATGGAGCCAACAGCATCACTGAGTCCAGCAAAGCACAGTAGGTATGACTTGGAATCTATAAGATGCATCATATGTCTTGTAGTAGGTTTGCCATCAATGATTAGCCCAAGTACACCTACTGGAATTGCACAAATAAATGAGGCACTAGTTCACTGTAGGATCATTCCTGAATTTGTCACTTGTTATGGCAGTATTCTTGAGAGAAAATCATGGTGTTTTGAACCTGCGTAAGGGATAGTGAAGAGGAGATCAATGCCTACTGCCAGGCTCTTCGCCTGAAGAAAAAAGAGGGAAGAACAAGGTTGCCTGGTATGACAAGGGTGGACAAGAGGAGCTCCCACAAAGTCCAGCCAGGGGTTGCTTGGATGAAGGTTGTCCCTGGCCCCAAGGCACGCTGCAACAGGGTCACCAGCCCCCTGGATCTTCACAATAGGTACAAACTCCTCACAGCACCAGTAGAGCCGCCAAAGCCAGTACCTGAGGAAGAAAGGCAACCAGCAACCACCCCTAAGAAGAAATACAGAGTGGTCATCAAGGGAGACTCCCTCTTGAGGGGGACAGAGGGAGAGATCTGCTGCCCTGACCCCTTAGCCCATGAGATCTGCTGCCTCCCAGGAGCCCGTATCCAGGATGTAGCTGAGAGGATCCTGAAACTTGTCTGGCCCTCCAACCACTACCGCATGCTCCTCATCCATGTGGGCACAAATGACATGGCTCGCAGCAATCCCAGCCAGGTTATGCATGACTACAAGGCTCTGGGAGTGGGGCTCAGAGGATTGGGGCTGCAGGTGGTTTTCTCCTCAATCCTTCTGGTTACAGGTCACGGGTATAGGAGGGAGAGACAAATGGAAGAAGTAAACAGAAGACTGCGACACTGGTGCCTTGGGAAGGCTTTGGCTTCTTTGACCACAGTCCACACTTCAGAGAGAGAGGCAGCAGTTTGTTGGGAAAGGATAGCCTCCACTTCACTCCAATGGGGAAGAAGCTCTTGTCTGCCAGAATGACTGACCTGCTCAATTGGGCTTTAAACTAAGTTTTCTGGGGGGTGGATGAACCAATGCAAACCCACCAAGCATCAACCACAAAATCAGCTGGTCAGGCTACACAAGGGAACTTGCTCCTACCCCAGTCAAGGGATGGGACTCTTCTAGGAGTGCAGGAAAGACTAGGGCTTCCAATGGCAGACTTACTTGCCTGTACACAAATGCCAGGAGCCTGAGGAACAAACAGGAAGAACTGGCCCTTCTGCTAAAAAGAAATAAATACCATTTCATAGGGATAACAGAGACCTGGTGGGACTCCACATATGAATGGATCACAGGTATAGATGGCTATACCTTGTACAGGAGGGATCATGTTGCAAGAAAGGGTGGGAATGTAGCTCTCTATGTGAAGGAGCAGTACAGTTCCCTACAGAGGGAACTCCCAAGGGAACTCTACAGAGCAGAGATTGGCTCCCAAGGAGGGTGACCTGAGACCCTCTGGGTTAGAATACAGGGGGAATGTGGTGAAGAGGATATAACAGTAGGAGTCTACTACAGACCTCCTCATCAGGAACAGGAGTTTGACCATGAATTCACTAGGGAACTGGCAGAGGCTGCATGCTCTCAGTGCATGGTTGTCATGGGTGACTTCAACTACCTTGACATCTCATGGGAAGAGCAGTCAGCCAAATCCAATAGTTTGTAAAGCTCCCTCGCATGCATTGATGAGCTCTACTTGTCTCAAAAAGTCTACAGGCCAACAAGAGGTAAGGTGCTGCTGGATCTGGTACTGGCCAAAGGGAATGATCTAGTCAGTGACCTGAGAATTGAAGGAAAGCTGGGAGACAGTGACCATGAGTTGACCATAGCAAATTAGTCAGCAATGCAGAAATCTTTGACTTTAGGAAAGCCAACTTTCACAAGCCTAGGAGGCTAGTTGTTGAGGCCCTGATCTGACAGGAAGGGGAGTCCACGATGGCACGCTCCTTAAGGATACAATCCTTGAAAAACAAGGGAAGTCCATTTCAGCCCATAAAAAATGTAGCAAAAGGGCCAAGTGACCCCCTTGGCTCAGTAGGGAACTCATGGACCTCCTGTATGTAAAAAGAGAAGCTTATAAAGGATGGAAGTTAGGAAACACCACTAAGGAGGAGTATTCAGCACCGGGGAGCGAACTAAGAAAGCCAAGACTGAAACCTAACTCAAACTGGCTATAAGAATCAAGGACAATAAGACATCCTTCTTCAGATACGTGGGAAGTTGAAAACCCCCCACCAAGGGCAACACTGGGCCCCTACTAAACCAAATGGGGCAGCTGATAACCGACACCCAGGAAAAATCCAATCTCCTTAATGATCACTTTGTGTCAGTCTTCCACCAGCCAAAGGGGATTACCCTCCCTGGTAAGATGCAGGTTTACCAGGGTAAAGGTGAACACACGCTCTTCATTGGCACAGATCTTGTGAGGGAACACCTTGAGAGGCTGGACATCCACAAATCAGATGGCCTGGATGGAATGCACCCAAGAGTGCTAAAGGAGCTAGCTGATATCATAGCACAGCCAATGGTGAGCATATTTAAGAACTCGTGGCACTCGGGTGAGGTACCTGAAGATTGGAAGAAGGCCAATGCGGTGCTTATCTTCAACAAAGGGAGGAAGGAAGATCCTGGGAACTACAGGCCAATCACTTTGACCTCAATCCCTGGAAAGACCTTGGAAAAAAAATCAAAGAAACCATTAACAACAAGTTAACAGAAGGAAATGTTCTGAGAGATAGCCAACACAGCTTTGTTGTGGGTTGGTCTTGCCTGACCAATTTCATTTCCTTCTATGACCAGATGACACATCATCTGGACAAAGGAGAAGAGGTTGATATCATCTATTTGGACTTCACAAAAGCCTTTGTCCTGGTATCCCATGATGCCCTCCTGGCACAGTTGGGGAACTGCAGCCTCGAGAAACTTATGTGAATGGTGATATGTATCTATTGAAGGGAATGTTGATTAAATTGCACTTGTTGGAATAGTTGGCAAACACTTGTTGCACAAAGCAATCAGCCAAATCTCCAAATGTTTGTGCTGTTTTTGGCTTTCCAATTCTCTGTACAAGAGCCATGACATCAATAATAACAGCTGATTTCTCATAGGTCAGACCTGTGGTTGGACCCAGAGAGTGATAGTTGATGGTACCGAATCAACATGGCACATGGTGACAAGAGGCATCCCCAGGGCTCCATTCTGAGATCTGTACTCTTTAATGTATGTATAAATGATCTGGATTCTGGTGTCAAAAGCAGACTGGCTAACTTCACTGACAACACCAAACTATGGGGAAGACTAGAGGATAGGTTGGTGATTAAGGCTGACCTTGACAGGCTTGCAAGGTGGGTGGATCAAACCTGATGGCATTTAACATGGAGAAATGCAAGGTACTCCACCTCAGGAGAAAAAACCCACATCATATTTATAGGCTCAGAAGTGCTACACTCACTAGCATCATGACTGAAAGAGACTGAGGGGTCATGATTGACTACAAGATCAATATGAGCCACCAATGCAATGCCACAGCTGAAAAAGCAAACGAAACTCTGGCTTGCATCTACCAATGCATCTCAAGCAAGACTTGGCCTTAGTGAGGCCACAGCTGGAATACTGTATCCAATTCTGGGCTCCGCAATTCAGAAAGGATGTGGAGAAGCTTGAAAGAGTCTAGAGGACAGCCACGCGCATGATTAGAGGACAAGAAGGCAGGCCTTATGAGGAGAAGCTGAGAGTCACGGGACTCTTCAGCCTGGAAAAGCATAGGTTCAGGGATGACTTGGTGGCAGATTGGGGAAAATCACCCGGTTGGAGCTGCTGCTCACGTAACATCCTTGGAGGTACAGGGCCAGAACTATGGGGATGAAGAACGTTCCTAGTCCTGGGGCATGACCTAAAACTATACCCTGCAGGATGGGGTGGTGGGGCTGCCTGTGGCGGGGTGGTCCCCAGGAA